ATTGAATGTCAACTCTAATTGAAAAATAAAAACTAAAGAAAAAGATTAGGAGTGTGTGTATGTGGGGGGAGGGGCTGAATATTTTTTGGTGATGGTTTATGCCAGTGTTATAGTTATTTTTGTATTAAAACAAACATACAATAGCATGGATGAACCTCAAGAACATTATGCTATGTGAAATAAGCCAGACGGAAAAATACAAATATTGTATGATTCCACTTATGTGAGGTACCTAGAGTGGTTAAATTCATAGAGACAGAAAGTAGAATGGTGGCTGCCAGGGGCTGGGGGAGGGAGGGATGGGGAGTTGGTGGTTGATGGATACAGACTCTCGGTTTTGCAGGGTAGAAAGTCCTGGAGGCGAACACTAGTGATGGCTGCACATCATCATCAATGCATTTAATACCACTGAACTATACACTTAAAAATGATGAAGATGGTAAATTTTATGTGTGTTTTACCAGAATACAACAGCAACAAAATACATTATAAAATAAAATAAAAACTTTTTTCTTTTAAACTCCAGACACATTCCTGCCTGTAGCTGCCACTTTAGGCTATGTCCTAGACTAGAGTCTCTCACATTCTCCTGTCGATGGAGCAGCTTTAGTGAGAAAATTTGAGACATGTTGTCAGACTGCATTTTACAAACGGAGGCCCAGAGAGGTGATCCGGTGTGACAGAAATAGATGTCCAGCGCCCCTCTGTCCTGGAGGTAAGCAGCACAGGCTCTGGCGTCAGAGCTCCCTGTGCTGGGGCAGCCTCCCTGCTTTCTTGCTGTGAGTCTGGGACTGTGACTCATCTTTCCAAAGCCTCCATTTTCTTACCTGTAAAATGAGGATAACAGGCCCCTACTCAGAGGTGGGGTGAGGCTGACTCGAGACAATGCTCGGGTGCGCTTAGCATAATGTCGTGCGCACATTCATCAAAAATGTTCAATGGACATTGGTCTTACGGGGCAAGTACATTCCTCTAGAGCTATTCTTGATTAAATGAGGGGTAAGTAGAACTATTAAGAACTGCACTATGCTTTATTCCTCCCACATTTAGCATGGTGACATTGACCCAGGACAAATCCATACATTTCTCCAGATGTTGCAAATGTGTCCTGAAGAAGGAATCCTGTTTGGATTCAACCCTGACCACCTATTTATAAATACTAGTCTCTTAAGCAGATAAAGCCAATTGACGGGCTCCACTCTCCAGCACAGGCTTGTAAACAAGGACAAGACTGATTAATGTTTGCTCTTAATTAAAACCTATTACCACACATGTCCCCTGTTTACATCACCCTGCATGGAAATCCCCTTCTCTGGACCCCTAATCCACCCATTACTTCATTTATTCACCAAACATTGATTGAGCACCTTCCAGGAACCCCAGAGTGGGACAGTGAATACAGGCACCCAGCTCCCTCTGAGCAACCAGGCAGCTGGTCCCCATACCTCTGGGAGCAGGGCACCCACCTGAGGGGGCGCAGCCTCACAGTCTGTGTGAATTTGTGCACTTTGGCTCCCCTCGTCTGGCTCACAGGCATCAAGGTAAACAAGACATTTTCTTCTGCCAGCTTCCCTGTGCAGGGAGCCAGTCTGCGGACAAAGACCGGCTTGCTCTGAGAATAACACGGAGTGTGTGGGGAGGGGGAGGGCCGCAGGAATGTCCAACCTCAGGGAAATGGAGGAAAGAATCAAGGCCTAGGGGTACTCCCTCTAGTTGGAGACAGAATCCTAGGGCAACACAGAGTGGGAGGAAGTGGCTGGGTGGTGTGAAAACTGTGCTTGGATGAGACAGAGAAGGGGGCGAGTCAGGGAGGGGCTGAGGGAAACAGCTGGGTTGGCCAAGTTCCCAGTGGGGAGATGGAGCCAGACTTGTCTCCAGCCCCAGGGGTAGGGGCCCTGCTGAGGGGCGTAGGGCCTCACCCTCCTCCCCACCACCCACTGGAAGGCTGGAGTGCTGCCAGGGAGAGAACAGACAGAACCTTCCAGGCGCTGTTAGGGAGGGGCACAGCCTGCAGAATGGCTGGCAGTGGCCCCCAAACCTGGCCCCCAAACCTGGCCCCCAGGGAACTCTGACTGGGACAGGGCCTCTCTGGGTCAGGTCACTCCCCTCCTCTCACAGAAATGTTTACCAGTGAGCACCTTTGAGTTGGAAATGAAAATCCGTTCATGCAACAGTTATCAAATGCTTGTAGTGCCTTGGTGAATCATATCTTTAATGACAAAAGTTGTGTAATCACTTGTAACAAGTCTATAACTTACCTTATTAATTTATCTAGAGCACGAGAAGGGAAAAGGGGGAATTTCTATCCTTGTGCCTCAGAAAAAAACAGTCCCAAGGATGACCTGTTGCATGTGGATGGGGGCAGAAGACCCGAGGCCCTGTCTCTCCCTGGAGCTGGCAGTCTGGAATCATGGGCCCATCTGACACAAAATGGGCACCCCAGCTTCCAGGGCAGAATCCCACATCGCCAGCGTCAGGCAGGCTATGCGGTCAATAGCACATTAAACCCCAGGCAGGTTGGCCTCACTGTGGGGATCCAACAATGGCCGAGGGCCCTAACAAACATCCAAGGAACTCACTTCTGAAGACCAGGCAGTAACCTGAGAGCCAGAGTAGCTGCATTAACAATATGGGAAATCTGGCCCAGATCTCCCAGTCCTGCCCCAGAGAGCACAGACAAGGAAGAAGTCAGAGTGAAGGAAGACGCTCTCATAGTGTCCTCAGACTGTGCCCCTACATACCCAGGAGAGAAAAGCCACTCCCCTTCCACTGGGAAGTTACAATCCTCAAGCCCGATGACATTTTCAAACTGGATGAACTTCTGGCTGGGTTATTCCAGAGCAGACCCCCAAACTGGGAGGGAAAGGGGCAGGGAAGCTAGGTTAGGAGTCTCTGAAACGAAGCTTCCCAGGCAGATCCCCATGATGACAATGGCAGGATGGCACAAAGGTCATTTTCAACATTCCAGAAAATCTGAAGAAATCATGCCTTCACAGCCATCTGACTCATGCAAGTTAAAACTCAGTCATCTCCATAAACACTTAAGTTTAAGGCTATTTTATAGCATATGTAGGAAAATCCAATTAGTAAACAGAAAGACAAATTACCCAAGTTATAGTTCTTGGTGGACAAAAATCTAGGTGCAGGATAAAATCCTCCAAATGTCTCCATTTCCTCGGCAGGTATTTGAGAGACTTCTGTGTGCCCATCACTGTGATAGCCACGTGCGGAGGGGAGGCACTGGCCCTTAAAGAACTCACCCAAACTCAGAAGTTTAAGTATAATGTGTATATATTTATGTAGCTCCCAGAGTTGTTTCCACTTTTACATCATCTTGGTACATAAACCTTTTGACTAGGTCTGCTACCCAAGAAAAGTAATCACAGACAGAAATTTATCTGCAGTCCACCTCGTGGTATGCTATGGGTAAAAGAGTAACAAAACTCTCTCCCTTTTTGCATGAGCGATTTACCCTGGATTACTACATAATTAAAACAATTTTAGAGAAAAAAAAAAAAAAGGACACAGGCATCAAGAGTATATGTCACCCCTTCTCCCAAGAATTGGGTCTCTAATGAATCTGGCTTCTGAGGCTCTTCCATCTCTCCCCTGTAGAGGGCAAGGCGTACCAGACGTTGAAGTGCCAGCCCACGTCAGAGAATTAATCTTTGTCAAGCAAGAGATCCCTGTGTTGAACGGCCCCTGTGGTAGGTCAGGTCATCCTCCTCCGGGGTTTCTACCAGTCATTTAACGAAGGAGGTATATTCTAAGTAAATATGGAAATGGATTTGGTTTGCTAGTTGGGTTTTCCTCTGGATAAATCATCACCTCAACTCGAGAACCAATTATCTTTGGATGTCTCCCACATACTTCTTCCTCCTTGATTTTGTTTTTAGGATATGTTCTTTGCCTTCTTGCCAATTCAGTTTTCTCTTCTTCTCAAAATTGATTCAAACTTTGTTTCTGGAGAAAACTCTGATTTTAAACCCTGGCTTGTGGATCCCTTATTTATTCTGTATTCCTATTCAAATTTAAGGTAGTGCTTATATTCGAATATGCTGTCATTTCACTTTTAACCAGATCCTGAGCTGGCTGGCAGTCTCTCTCTCTCTCTCTCTTTCCACACACAGCACACAGCAGGGGCCCCAAGAGAGAATGGGTGGGTTACAGAAAACTGTGGTACTTACCTAGCGATGCAGAAAATCTGGCCTCGTTACTCTTGCTTCTCAACCTGGCTCCAGGGCATCTTTCACTTGTCAAGAGCACCCCTCTCAGGGTTCAGGGCCCCTAAATATCAGAAACCTCTCTCAGCTGATGAGGACAAGTCATGACGCTTCTGTGACAGACTCTAGTGACACTGCCTATAAGATTCATAAATGCAAATGATGACTGATTCCCAAAGGAGAGAATGGACACCATCTATGCTTCTCGATGCCCTTAGGCAATGTAGCCAGGAATGCATTCATCTCTTCAATGTTCCAATCTCTTCAATGGTTTTTTTTTTTTTTTTGCCACAAACTTGTTTCTGATCAGTGATTCCCAACACTGCGGGTGCTATTCACTATTTAAAAATACAAGGTTTTGTAGAGTTTGGGCATAGAGTTATAGGACAATTTATGCTCTACCAGGTCAATAAAAGTAATGTTGCTTTTTTCCATTGACATAACCTACATAATTTAAAAAAGATAATCCTTTAGCACATGAAATATCTGCATCATACAACATAGACGTCCTGTAAGTTCTTGTTTTGACAGTTTTTACATTGAGTTAAATATTTCCTAGAAAACATTTTTTTTTTCCAGAAACTAAATATTAAGGATACTTGTTTTGAAACTACTCATAGATTTCAGAGATGTGGCCTACGATTGATTATCCATACCACTTTATTCTGAGTGAAGGATACAAACAATGCATTTGTGTTCCAAAACTGTTTCCTGCTCACTGCCGAACACTTCTCAGTTATACTTCATACTACTTTCATGTAAGAAAACTAGCACAGCTGGATTCATGCCGGCTTTATTCACTTGACAAACACAAGAAAATCTGTAATCATCTATCAAAATAATATCCTACCAAGAATTTGAAAGGTATTTTAAAAAGATGTATTCACAGTCGGTTTGAATCATGTACAAAGCAGTGTCTGTAAAAAGCAAAAGCCAGACAATAAACATGTGAGAGTAAATGATCTCACTGAACTCACATCCCAGCCCTACCAATCACACAGGAAACAAGACAATCCTGAACTTGCTACTCCGGTAGAGTTGAAGCTGCCCTGTTACAACAAATATTTATTTTAAAAGGAAAATTGCTTTCTGAGAAACCTTTCCCACTGCACAGACCAGACTGAAGTGCTAACACCATATTCTGGGGCCCAGGAGGACCCAACTACTTCCTCAGGACAATTTTGCAGCTGCCTGCGGCCGTGGGAAACAGCTTCGACATTCAAGAAGGACCTGGGTTCATTGCAGCTCCAGGCTGATTTTTAATACACAAATCTGAGGTGTTTCCTACTAGAGGGGAGCACTGTTCAGATGATGCCATCCAGATGATTTGGGACATGAACATGAGTACAGCCTTGTTGGTATACAGCAATTTCGACAAGGGTTGTGAAGATCTGAAACAACTGTTTTGAATCTCTTATGTTTTGGGAATTTAAAAAGAGGCGAGATCATAAGGATTGCTTCTGGGCTCACACTTATGATGGTGATATCCCTTCATCCCAAGGCAAAACCAAACGTCCACTTTTCAAGTCTCTTCCCAAACTCAGCATTCAGTATACCCTTGGAGGTAAGGAGAACGAAAGGCCAATCGTTCTTTATAGAATACCCAAAGCAAATTTACAGAAAAAGGAGTACTTTACTAAAAGGATGTGTTTTAGGAAGAATCAAGTCACTTTTGTAACATCAATTTTATAAGTCCTCAATAATGCTAACTGAAAGGGGTTATTGACACGTACCCGGTATTTTAGAGGAATTAGAGATGGCATATACTGGAGAACAGGAGGCTGCAGCTGCATTCTGAGGACAGATCTTATTTATCTTTGCATCTTTAGACTCCAGCACCAATGAGGACATTGAACAAATCTTTTCACAGTGGTTTTTGAACTTTTTCTTCCAGGCCTAGATTGTGACTGGGGAATCCTGCAAGGCTGAGCACTGGGGGTCAGGATCAAAGGCTTCCTCGAGATGTCTGACCCTGGAGGATGTTATGGGGCAGCTTAACTTCTGTTTCGCATTCTACAAATTATGATCAGACATCATATAAGAGAAGAGGCCAAATAAAGGACAAGTACTCAACATATTATTTTTTTCAAACATCTGTTATAGAAGGAGAGTTTTTTAAAAACCAAGGGAAACTTAAAAAAAAGGGGGATCAGGAGTATAAAAGTAAAAATATCACCTCTTTAGTTGTTGCTTCTGTAGTGAAATCAATAATTTCCTCACATTCCTGAAATGAATGTTTCCTTTCAGATTGTTTAGAAAGCTATTTTTTTTTCTGATCGAGAAATTTACTCTTTTATAGTGAGAGCTGTGATCCCAAGACCACACACTAACCTAGTGAGAATCAAAACCAGGGAAGTGAGCACTTCCTCTTTGGAAAAAATACAAATCTTCCAAATATAGTTGGTACTTCCATAGGCTAGTTTGTAGCAACATTCTGTATATAAACACTTTATTTTGCAGGCCAGTCCGATCCAGATATCAGCGGTCATTTTTCCTACTGTTTTTCCTTCTTTTTATTGAGCAGATTGGCTTGGCTGGTCATGCTTTATCATTTATGTTTCCCGGCTCCACAGCCACCCCGCTGTCCACGTGAGGGCACATTCTCAGTGAAACTGCTACGAATTACTCTGGTGACAATCGATTTTTCATGGTGGAAGACTAGCATTTTGATACTTCAGAAACAACTGAATGAATTCCTAAAAGATTTGAAGAAAAAGTTCTACCTCAGACTGGTGATTTAAAAAAATGTGTCTATGCTCACATGTGGCTCCATCTTGTAAAGTGACAGATCTGTCGCAATCTTTCTACATGGGACAATAATACATAGGGTGGATTTAAACACACACACATACACACCCTTTCTGTGATGAGCCTTTCATGAAAGGTACAGCATATCTGGGACCCTCACACAAGTAAACTACTCTAGATCAGGGCTCCCTCAAGACTGCTTCAAATCACATATTGGTGTTCAGGTGGCTTTGCTGTAGCTAATGAATCATATGTCTTTCTAGAAGATAACACACTGCCACATGCTGAGGAGAAAAAGAGAATCTTGGAAAAAGAGGCTGAAGGAAAAAAACAGAGATGGGAGAATCCACTACCCTAAGGCCCACTCCTTCTCTGCACAGCTCTTATGTTCCTAGTTCTCGGCTATCTGATACGAGCCAGTTTTCACGTCCACTCAGGTTAGGACCAGTGCGCTACTCCTAAAGTTAGTTTCTAAGAAATATTCCATGACAGAAAACAAATATTCTAAACTCCAACCCCAAACCAGATCATATGACAGGCTGAGAGAAAGCAGGAGGAGGAAAAGCTGGTCTTTCTTCAGCCACAGGGGGAAACTAAGTCCCTCACAAACTCTTACAAGCAGCATGGCTAAGGGTTCTGTGGCAAAGAACAGTGTGCCCTGGCAAAACTTCATTTAGAGGTATTATGTGCCCACGGGCTGATGGCTCTGATTCAGAGCACTGTCCAACTCAACTGCCCAGGGCCTGAGCTCCACTGCCCAATTCACATCTTCGAAGGTTCACTGACATGAAAGGTGATGCTGAAGGGAAACCACAAACCATCATTAAGAGCTTCCTGAGGAATAACTTGGATATCCCCCTTAACACCCCCCTGCAGGACTTCAGCTCGTCTTGTCCCACCGGCTGTTGGAGGCCCGTTCTCTTGCCAGCCAGTTCTCCCCGAACCCTGGACCCTCCCACAGCTCAATAGCTTTCTCCAAACTCTTGCTTTGTACTGATACAAGTGATTCATACACTTTATAAACTACCAGCTTTTGGCTACTGGTTCAATTTCTGACCTATGGTCAGAGACAATGGGTTGTAGTAAAAAAAGAAAAACTAGGACAGAAAGTGCTTCACCAGCCATTTTACTCTTCTTTAATGCTACTGTCTCTGGGCACACATTGGATTTGCTATTGAAGAAATTAATGACAGTCAGGCTGACAGCACTGATTCATAACACGTTCTTTGCACCACACAGAGTAAAATCCTAGAATAACTGGACCATCTGCTACCACAACAGAGCTGTCTTATTTGCCATATAAGGGCATTGCTTATGGGGGAGTGAAGGGAGAGATGGGGAACAAAGGAGGCATTGGGGTAAGTGAACCCACAGTGTGTTTAAAATTTAGGAATTTGGTGGTAAATCCAGAATTTACCTAAGGGTAATAAGGAATCATTGAGCTATAGTTCCATTATTTCCAGAAATTACTGAATTTGGAACCTGAGGTTAAGACTTTTAAGACAAAGCAACCTCAAATGAACTCAGACTGGCCTTGGGGAGGAACAGCGACCACAGATGGGAATGAGCCTCAGTGCTTGAGAACGAAAATGTCAAAATTAACTTATACATGTGAACTGACTCAAGGTGAAAAAAGGTCTTACTTAAAAATGATAAGTCTGCAGCAAAATAGTCTAAAAGTGAAAGTCTGAGCCTCTTTCCACCTTTCCGCTTTGTTGCTGGCGCCCTTACAAGTACCTCCCGAAAAGATTTAGAATTTAACACAGACTTATTACGTTGATTTTCAACATGTTGTTTAAGATGTCGAGTCCTGTTTGGTTTCAACCACTTTATCTAACCCCTTGGTAATGGCAGTCCTGAGAGTCTGCAGTGTTGGTAAAATCCACCCGTGACCACGGGTCAAACTGCTTGTGATCCATCACTTTTCCTTGTCCTTGTCACTCAAATCTGATAGTTTTTGTACCGAGGGATTCAGTCCACCACGATGATGTATGTTCAAAACCATTTTCTGTAGACACTTCCTTCCAATGCCCAATAGTGCAGGTGGTCAGGAAGACTTGGAAGGAAGCCATGAAAAGTCCAGCCAGGAATCTTGACTTTGTTAGATGTGGACACAGGAAAATCACCTTTGTCCTTCCCAGATGTTATTATAGTCAAAGGAGAAAAATCCATGGGATTCTAATTGCAAATATGCTAGATATAAAATTGATGGAATGCTAATTGGTCCATAAAGGGCTGCACAAGATAATCTGTGGCAAAATAGAAAACAAGCCCAAACGTGATAGAGATTGGAAGAGCTGGCAATGCTTTCTTGAAAATGGCGAGAAGTAATAATGTAAGGCACAAACCCTGCGGGGGAGAGAAGAAAAGACACAAACTCAGACGTGACTATGAAAGTATTTGTACAAAACAATTCAATCACAAGTCTTGGTTTTAATTTAGTTAATTGAATACTATCCTTTGAGGTTAAATTTTAGAACAAATGTTTCCACTAAACCTGGAAACAACTTTTTTCTTTGCCAACACCGAGTTCATTATGCTCACATTCTTGATTCTTTATCCTCTAATTCTAGGTAAGGAATAGAATCTGAGAATAAGTAAAACTATTTTTTTTTAATTTTCATAACTTGTTTCTGCTGATTTTTTTTTGGTAAAACTTTCCCAAGACATGTTCAGATCTAAAAATAAAGTCGGTGTTACAAGGTACTGGTCAGCCTTCTTACTTGTACCCTTGTTTCTCAGCCTCTGGGGTAAAGGTTCAGGAGCAATGCAGCAGTGTCTGTCGGGAGCCTCCGTTAAACTATTTTTGAAAAAAATTAAGTAACACCAAAATTTCTACCTAAAATATTGAGTTGGCCACTCTGAGTTTGGTTTGGCAGGCTCAAATCCTAGAGGTGAAGAGCATTTTTTATGTTGTGTGGGGGCAAAGATGTTCACAGAATACACTGATAAAAGTTCATGAAAAGTATACTCCTGCTCTCTTGGGAACACAGAGCAGCCATATAATATAGTCCATATTTTACTCTAGTTACTCAGACACTAATTATATATTCTGGAGACAATGTTAAGCATCTTTCAGGTTTATCCAGAGTAAGTAATTTTCTTCTTAAAAAGATACAACACATCCAGAAAACTAACCTCAAAAGAGAAACAAAACACATGAAAAGTCTAACTGGTTATATTATCATGATAAATCACAAATGTAATCACAAAATAAATGCAATGTAAAGGCTCTCATTTAACTTCACTCACATGATGTATCAAAGATGTCATATCACATCTTTAGTAAAAAACCAATAAGAAATATGAGTTATTTACTTAAGTCATAGTTTTGAAAACCTCAGGGTTCACATTGTGGCACTATAAGATCTAGGTGAGATCATGCCTTGTGTTAACTATTTTCACCTCGTACTGCCCGAAGAAACACTGTGCACTGCAGGTTGTGGCATTAAATGTACAACCATCACCAAACTCAGGGACTGAGTGAGGATCTACCTACCCTTCTTAGACATAGCGAACCTACATATCTATGCTGCTTGAAGCAGTGGTTCCTAACCAGAAGTACTTATCAGAATTTCCTGGGGGAACTTTAAAAATAAGATACAGAATTGAAACAAATTAAATAAGAGTATCTCAGGATAAGGATGCAGTTTTAAAAGCTCCCGGGAGATTTTAATGTGTGGCCAGGTGGAGAACTATTCAGGTGAGGTCCAATTAATTTGTTTTTAAAAAGCTCCACAGGTGATTGGAACACTCAGCCCAGCTGGGGTTAAAATGGAACTACCTTAAAGGGACAGCATAAACAGAGTTTGAGATGAGGAGTTCTGATACATTTTTATTTGTGTATACTTACAATTAATATGGCTACAAAACAGGCTATGGTTGTGTTCCAGTCTCCACTGGCTGTTGCGGAAGCTTTACCAACCAGAACACTGTAGAAAATGAAATCTCCTAGTCCAAGTTTTACTCCCCCTAAGAAAGAAAGATTACAAATATAAAAAAGTTTGTCACTCTTCGCTATTTCACTATTCAAAAATGTCACTGCTCCACCCTGCACTGAACGAGAAGTCAGTAAATGATATCATACAAAATTAGGATTGAGCTAGGCCTGCCTGCCTTCCTCCCTCCCTCCCTCCCTTTCTTCCTTCTCTTCTCTTCTCTTCTC